GAAGGCTCATAATTGTATGACTGTATAGACATTTATCCAAAAGCGGGTTTTGTACTGATAGGAGTCCACTCTCGGCCCAACTTCACTGCCACCTAGACTCAGACGCTTATCGGCGCCGCCCCACACTACTTCCCTCCCGGGGACGTCCCACCTCTCCTGAGCCCGCTGCGGTGGGGGCTCAGGAGAGGTGGGACGTCCCGGGGAGGGAAGTAGGCGGTGTAACAATCATGAACACAGAGATGGGCGCCATCATCCATTCTGCTCCAAGCATCTACATTTTGGTATCTCTCCCCAAAACAAATCAGTCTCTCTCCTCCGATTTCCCCTCTCCCTCAGGAATGCGTTCAGCGTACCTTGCTAAGGGGCTGTCTATACAATCCTCTTGCCAAAAAAGGTATTGGCTTGTCCATTGTAGGAAGATACCAGTTGATTTTGGGTAGGAAAAAGAAGCTGCTGTTATGTTTTGTGTGTAGTCAGAGAAGTGAAGACATTCGGCGTTTTACCATCTAGCAAACCGAGAGCAAAGGATAATCACACTGTACCAACGAAACTGAGTGCGAGACCAGAAATCCCTTTTTAGCTCATCAGACTTGAAACTGCTTAACCCCAGGCATTTATTTGGCAAGTACTTATTTACCTAAACTGCTTTCTGTTATCTGTTTGCTCTGCCGTTGTGCTCTGTATTTTTATATATATATATTGGTTACATCTTCTTTCTGTAAATATTTTTACTGCACCCTTTCGACCTTTTTGGTAATAAATCTTACTTTCTAAAAGTGTTGAACTGTTTCTATAGCTCCTGAATGTAACTTCTGAATCCCTGCTGCTGAAGAGCGCTACTATGAGTATTTAACCCTCTGTATAACCGGTCTGTAGAGATAGCGGGATACTGACGGTTAACCACTCATCCTAGTGTATGCCGAGTTTCCTCTTTCTCTGTATAAAAAGGAGGTGGTGGCAGTGTAAAGGGTTAATTGCGTAATTAACCTGAACCAGTAACAATCGCATTCAGGCTGCTGGTACGTCAATTGTGGTCCAATTAGCTGGAAAATCGGTGTGCAGGGTGCAGCTGGGTGTGGCATTGTTACGCACGTAACATCGCGGTTTTAGATTGGCTAGTCCTTCGGTCACGAGTTTGGGGGTCTGACGCCGCGCCCATCACAGGCGGCGATGAGCGGCTAAGTCTCGGTGGCGGTAAAGCTGGGCCGAGAATTGACTCCAATAAGTACAAAACCCGCTTTTGGATAAACGTCTATACATTCATACTGTACAATTATGAGCCTTCCTTCTAAGGAGATCCTTGGTGACTCTGCACTACAAGTGTGGCTCTCCCCGGTGTTTGCATGAGTGTACTCCTGGTGCCTGGATGCCCTGATGGTGTGCTGCTTATTCAACTGATGCTCACTAGATGACCCGGTGTGTGTTCCAGTAACCAGATGTTGATGACCAGGAGTTGGTCCTAATGTACTCAAATGCGCATTGATTTGCGCTATCTGGTTAGTGCAATCTACACTCATTTATCTTGACACCAATATCACAGATTTCCACTGATTTATTTTGATTGAATTCCACTTCACCCTATGCACTTTTAAACGCCAACTTTGAACGTTTTCCACAAAGTTTACCTGTATTAAGGCCTCACTAAGTATATTTATCCGTTTTATTTATTCAACCTTATGTGCTTTGATTGCTACTATAGGTTATTGGATAACCACCATACGGTTATTTATATCATACGGACAATAGTTGGACTTTTTTCATATATGTTTTATATGCTTCATGTTTTTGATACATTTCTAGTGCTGCATGCTTATTTTATATGGTTTATAGGTGGTTTCAGAGGTTTTTACCTTTCATGCTAGCTGCTTTTCTTATTCACATCCAGCGCTCATTGTTTACCTATATTATTTTACCAATAACGGTATCTATCACAATCCTCTCCTTACATGTTCAGGTGGAGATCCGATCACTGCCATCCTAATCCCATTTTCACTATATAGCCAAGCACTTACCTGAAACGAGCCTGCCTGCCAGGTAAGTCTGAACTGAATGTCCTGCATGAGGGTTACTGGCCGGAGTCAGAAGGTAAAGAAGCCAAGAATTGGGACGACCGTCACATGCATACAATTTCTGTAAGAAGAATTATTACTTGCCAAAACATCTAGCATGCCTTTTCTGCCTGGGCAACATCAGAGAATAATCTCCGTTCCTTGGTCTTTTAAGAAATTAAAAGGAACAAGAAATTAATATTACAAACATTTTATTATTAATATATATTATTTTGGCAAAAAAAATTGTCACTCATAACAGCAGAACAGACAAACAGCTGAATTCTAGTGAGACACCCTGTGCTAAGGCTCCCTGACGTCATCGTGTGCATATGATTAGCGTGTATCTATAGATTTCGATAGGGTAGGCAAGGGTTGGAGCCTGTTTTTTTTTTTTTCCCATTGTCTATGTCATTTTGAAGGGATTTCTCCACACTTCCTCTTCCGGGAACACAAAAGGAAATGAAAAGACATTGCTTCAAAGTGAGAGAAGACCCCTTTTGCCAGCAACAAGCCCCAGAATTCTAACCCTTTTCTGCTCCATCCATTACAAAAAAAAAAAAAAAAAATTGGCTAAGGATACACTATAAAGATACTCTGTCACAGAGGGGAAAAAAAACTGCTACTACCCCTTCTGTCACAGCCATATGCTAGGTGGTTCAGGCAAAGCTCTGACACTTATCGGTAGTGTCTGGCCCCACACATTTCTACTGGCTCATCATTATGTTGGGCAGACTACCTGACCAAAAGGGATGTGCAAGAGGCTAGAAGGGCTTGCAAGCACCATTACAAACTGTTGAAGTGCTACCTGTCAGTGCGACTTGGCATTCATCTATGACAAGAGGGTTTGAAGGCACTTATGTCCCCCTCTACGACGAGTATTTTATAGCCACAATCAAAACCCTCTCGTCACAGCCAAATATCAAGCGTTCGGACAGGCAAAATGAACACTTCCAGGAAGTATCAATGCTTCATACTAAGCCCTGACCCACACATTGCAATAGGCCCATCATTTTGATGGGTAGCCCCACAGGCCAACTGGAATAACTGGTAGGTGGGAACAGGGTCCGGGTCAGTGGGCTTTGGGTTTGTGTCGTTGGCAACAGTTTGAGCCTGGGTTCACATATATGCAGTGTGGGATGCAGTGTGATTTTGTTCATGCGGGGAAGGTGCGATTCCGATTCGAATTGTTAGTGTATCAGGCTGGTAATTGCACCCACACTGCACTGAAAATTGCACAGGACCTTTTTTAGGCCTCATGCACACAGGACGTTTTGAAAACGCTCTTTCCTCTTGGCAGCAGTGTTTTGGCAGAAAAAATACAGTATGCCGGAAAAAAGTGGTTTTATAAACGATAGGAGGCGCGTTTACAGGCATCAAGGGTTTGGGTGTTAATTCCATTTCAGTGGCCAAAATAGTCATTTATTCTGGCCACTGAAATTAATTAATGCACATGCGCTAAACAAGCCTGCCATTAACACGCGTTTCCACATGTCAAGCGTTTTTTTTTTTTCTGCCAAAGCACTGCTGCTCCTGGATGCACTGACAGTGGGGTTTCTTTTCTGCCTCTAAATGCCACTAAACATCTATGTGTGCATGTGTCATTGTACCTATTGCTGGATACAACTTCCTGTACGACGTGAGGAGTATTTATTCACAGAGCCCAGTTACCCTACCAAGAGGAGGAAGACATCCTGTAAGCAGGCAGCTCCTTCTACCCATCCCCCAATAGGGACCTCTGGTTACCTGGATCTGAATAATTCCGGCTCCTGGGCATTTGATGATTACTATCTTGAGGGAGGATTACCTAACCTGACCAGACTTATACCTGATGAGGATACCTCTGGATGTGATATATAACGCATATTATTATTTTACTTCTGGTGAGTGCGCAATTCTGTATTTCTCACAGAGCACCACCATTGAGTCTACCAGTCACCTGGCACTTTATAATCGCACAGACTGTTTACACTGAACTTTGTTTTTAATATAATTTTTTGAACATTTACTGTTTATTATACTTCTAGCGCTGCACTGTTTACTCTATGTGTGCATGGATACATAGGCTAACATGGAGGGGTGTTTGGAAGCAGAAAACCCCCTAAAAGTGGTTTTAAAAATGTCCTGTGTGCATGAGGCCTTAAAATCGCACTGCGACTGGCCCGCGTGTATGTAAACGGATTCCGCAGAAACAAATGTGTAAAACATTTCAGTTCACGTTATGCGAATCTGAGCAGTTCAAATAGCATCAGAATTATGTATGTATATATATATATGTATGTATATATATATATATGAACCAAGGCTGAGACTTCTGAGATCACTCAGAATTCATCAACAAGTGCATTTGACTTGCAATTGACCTCCTTACCTACAGTTGACCTGCTTCAAGCAGGCTTAATATACCTGTAGATGTTTGTAAGAATGAAAATCCCACTTGAAGTAAACAAAATCCCACAGACCCTTAAGAAGAGACAAAACCTTGACTGTCAAATATTTGGATGTGACAAGTGGAATCAGAGGGCTGCTGCAGGTTTCTGTACCTCTAGAAGCCTGTGCTTCCTACCTGCAACAGGTTTTTGTTTTTTTTTAAACCTCCATTACAGAATCATTTTAGGGTCCCCGCATATTGTGGAGTAGAATACTATGTAGGGGCGCACGTACTGTAACTCACTTTTTGGGGTACTCAGTGCAATTACACAGAAGCAGAATTATTCAGGACTCTTCCTCTACAATGAGGTTCCAGGCACTTTTATTCTAAGCATGGAACAGTGTAGAAAAATAAATTGTGTAATATTGGAGGGGTGCAGTTTCCTTCTCGTAGTATTGCATTCTTGTGTGGAAACACATCAGTAAACCAGCACTTGTTCCTGCTCCTCTTTCTCGAACCCATTATCCACTGAGGTAGACTGTGTAGGTCAGAGGAGACGGGGCTGATGGCAGAGACCCTCATCACGTGACCAAGGTGGACTCTGGCATATTAGACAGCGATTGGCATAACCGTGTTCTCTCTGGGAGCTCTGGCTGGTGATGGTAAGATGAGGTCTTTAAAGATGCTGGCCTTTCCTCAGGAGAGATGAGTAATGAACTGCAACAAGGGAACAAGAAGTACATCAAAAAATGACTCCTACAGTTATTTGCCATGTATATCTAATATGCAACTGAACACCTTTTTTGTAATATTTGCACGTAGCATATTGTTACACGTTTTTGACATTTCGTATACATATTTGCAACCAATAGTAGGAGCTCCGCTTTGTACAGTGAAGGAAATAAGTATTTGCTCCCCTGCTGATTTTGAATGTTTGCCCATTCACAAAGAAATGATCGGTCTAAAAATCGAATGTTCGATGTATTGTAACACTGAGAGACAGAATAGCAACAAAAAAATTCAAAAGAAATGCATGTCTAACAAATGATGACTGATTTGCATGTTCATGAGGGAAATAAGTATTTGATCCCCTATCATTTAGCAGGATTTCTGGCTACCAGGTGTCTTTCATACAGGTAACAAGCTGAGATTAGAAACAGCCTCTTAAAGGGGTGCTGCTAATCTCATTTTGTACCTAAAAAGACACCTGTCCACAGGAGCAATCAATCAGATTCCAAACTCTCCACCATGGCAAAGACCAAAGATCTGTCCAAGGATGTCAGGGACAAGATTGTAGACCTACACAAGGCTAGATTGGGCTACCAAACTATGGCCAAGCAGCTTGGTGAGAAGGTGACAACACTTGGTGCAATCATTCACAAATGGAAGAAACACAAAACAACTGTCAGTCTCCCTAGGTCTGGTGCACCATGCAAGATCTCACCTGGTGGAGTGTCAATGATCATGAGAACAGTGAGGAATCATCCCAGAACTACACTGAGGATCTTGTCAATGATCTCCAGCAGCTGGGACCACAGTCACCAAGAAAACAATTGGTAACACACTACGCCGACAAGGACTGAAATCCTGCAGTGCCCGCAAGGTCCCTCTGCTCAAGAAAGCACATGTCCAGGCCGTCTGAAGTTTGCCACTGAACATCTGAATGATGCAGAGGAGGACTGGTTGGAAGTGCTGTGGTCAGATGAGACCAAAATCGAATTCTTTGGCATCAACTCAACTCGCCGTGTTTGGAGGAGGAGGAATGCTGCCTATGACCCCAAGAACACCATCCCAACTGTCAAAAAATTACATTTCTCTTAAGCTCATTAACGGACACAGCGTCGTCTTCTTCTTTTTCCATGACCAAGCAGGGATGTCCCCAAGCAATGCCATAATGAGGGGTGGGCAGTCCAATCAATGGACATAAAAAATCCAGGGCAACATGCCAACACTCCAAAAGACCCCAAGGGGTGCCCAGGAAGCCTAAACAGCCACCTGCAAAACTTTGCAGCCAAAACTAACATCGGGAGATGCCAACACATCAACTATATAGAACTTAGTAAATGAGTGCCCAGACAACCAGGGAGGCTTGCAAACTTGAAACAGATGCTGGATGTCAGAATGCCCAGGAGGCGCTAACTGCCCTGGTGCAGTGTGCCAAAACAGGGAAGGGAGGTTAATGGCATACGCCTGCACAATCGCCTGCCGAAGCCAACGAAAAATGGGGGCGGAGGAGTTCGCCAAGCCTTTCTTCGGAAAGGCTGTGAGCACCAAAAAAAACAGATCAGACCTCTGAAAAGCAGCCATCACAGAAAGATACGCGCGAATAGTGTGAACCACATCCAGGAAGTGCAGAACCACCTCCTTAGGGTGCGACGGCCGAGGACATAGAGATGGAAGAATGTCGTCATATAAGTGAAAATCCAACACCAATTTCGGCAGGAAAGAAGGGGGAAGTCGAAGCACCACCTTTATCCTTGTGTATAATCAAAAAAGGCAGATTACAGGACAAAGTCACCAACTCCAACACCTTCCGAGCCGCAGTGATAGTGACTAGGAAGGCTGGAGGCCTATAGCAGAGAGGGGTTTTTATTCTCATAGGAGGTACCAAATTTTTTTCTGCCTAGTGTCCTACTCCTGTAGGTGGGGCTATAAAACCCTGCTTGGTCATGGATAAAGAAGACAACGCGGTGTTCGTCAATGAACATAAGAGAATTATAAGTCTTTAACCAAACCAAACACAATACAGCCAGTAGCCTCACTACTGTGAAGTTATATAGTAAACAGACAAAAAAAACCACGGGAAAGTGTGCCAGCACAGAATCTACAGTATGCTTGTATTACAAAAATTGCAACCACATAAACTACATGCCTAACCCTTGACAGTTACACCTATATGAGATTGCTGGACATCCCATTACAAAATTCTAGGCATTCTATTGCAAAACCACAGGGGCTGTAACAGGAGTTCTGTGTTCATCAGTGGATATTATGAAATAGAAAATTAAAGTCCTTTACTTTGAGCCCATTGGGGGGCATGGTCGGTCCAAAAAAAGTGTCCCTTTATGGTCAAAAGCGGTTATTAGACCGGCTAGAGAACAGCGATAGTAAATCAGAACCACTTGCAAAATTGAGTGATAATGATTCGTGGGGGAAATTCGTAGACACTAAAAACAATTTGCGCCAAGAAGTGTATTAAAACCTCTGATTATAGTGCCACCTAAACAGGCAAAGACACTATAAGGCCAGTCCAGCGTACAACACCTCCCACTGGTAGCATGCCTCAGTTTTGTAGCAAAGCAGTACCAAGAACCTGATCATAAACACAGAGGGGAGGAATCTGTGTCCTTCAAGAAACTCCAAGAGGGGTGGGACTTGTGTGTCACTCAATGGACTGCAACAAAAGGGTTTCAAGGCGAGTAAAAAAATTCTCTTTTCTATCTATTGAGGGAAACAAAATAAATTAAGCCTTTGGGATGTCCAAAAGCAGTCCAACTTAGGGGGTGGTCAACACAGCAAACAATTCGAATGTAAATAGGAACTGGGGGCTGCCTGCAGCTTAATCACTTGAGCCCTGGAAGGTTTTACCCCCTTCAGGACCAGGCCTTTTGTTGCTATACCATACTGCACTACTTTATCTGGTAATAGCATAGCCATGTCATTTTTTTTTTTTTAACCACAAATAGAGCTTTCTTTTGATGGTTATTTTGTTTTGCCTGACTTCATCTGGCCCTTGGGGCACTATTTCATTCACCAACACTAACAATGGTGCACAGTTCCTGCCAATGACACCAACAATGGGTCCTGATTACACAAATGATGGGGAACAATTCTTACCAATGATGTCAATGATGGGGCACTATTCCTCCCAATGATACAATGATGGGGCACAGTTCCTCTCAATCACACCAATGATGGGACACTATTACCACCGATGATGGTGTTCTATTCCTACCGATGAAGGGGGAATTTTCCTACCAATGACACCAATGATAGGGTAGTATACCTCCCAATGACATCAACGATGGGGCACAGTTCCTCCCAATCACACCAGTGACGAGACACTATTCCTACCAATGAGACCAATGATGGGTTCACAATTCCTCCCAGTGACACCAACAATGGGACATTGTTTTCTCCAACTGATGCTGCGGCATTTTCTACTCCCGAAGGCCACAGTGTGGCTCCTCTAAAGTCTGAAGGACAGTAAACTGGCCCTCAAAATGTTTGGAGACCCCTGAGCTAGAGTATGGAATACAATGAAATATAAGGGATATAGCAAATATAATCCATTATGGTGCAATTTAAAGTGATACTAAAGTCTTTTTTTTTTTTTTTTTAATAACAAACATGTCATTCTTACCTGCTTTGTGCAGTGAGTTTTGACTGAGTAGCCTGGATCGTCCTCTTCTCAGGTCCCCCGCCGGCGCTCCTGGCCCCTCCCTCCTATCAGGTGCCCCCACAGCAAGCAGCTTGCTATGGGAGCACCTGAGCAGGCGTGCTCCCAATCCGCGGCTCTGCGTGTCCATTCACACACAGAGCCCCCACTCTTGATTGGCTCACTGGCTGTGATCGACAGCAGCCAATCAGGAATGAAAGTCCCCAGAGAACCGAGGCTCTCATAGACATTGCTGGATTGGGATGGGGCTCAGGTAAGTGTTGGGGGGGGGGCTGCTACACACAGGTGGTTTAAAAAAACCTGGAGCCTTGAGAACTACATTAAACTGTGGGGAACTTAATAAGTTGCAGGGGTCTGAATTCTGGTATATATAGGAAGTGTGATAAATCCATCAACTCTACACGAATTATACTATTACAATGTTTCAGACATTTTAGGAGGAATTTGGTCTACCACAGACTAGATTCTTCCAACACCTACAGCTCGGACGTGCCTTGACAGCTCAGGCACACGTGCACAGTTTGTTACTAACACACATCCCACTGTTGGTTTATTGGACTCAAACTCAGTCCAAAAAAGGACTTCTCTCTCAATTATATACTATGTTACACTATGAAATGCAGAAACAGACTAGGCTGCCTGCTAGAAAAGGATGGGAGGAAGACTATATCCTCTCAGAAGAGCTATGGGAACAAGCTATGTCTACAATTCCAATACTATCCCTAACAAACTCATGAAACTGTTTATTTTACAAAGAACTTACCATGTGCCGGGAAAATTATTTTGATGCACTGCAGAGAAACTTAGATCTGTCCTAGATGTAATAGAGGTCCAGATGATCTAATAAATATGTTGTAGAGGTGCCCCAAGCTTTATCGCTACTGGAGTGATATTGTACATATTATAACCTCAACAAACCAGGATTACAACAAAGTTGCACCTTTCTGCCCACTGGATTGGCATATAGTGAGCTCCTCTTAGTAAAAAATGGCTTCAGCGTGATCGCCTACCCATGGGAGAACCCACTCTACATTGTGGCCAGTCTGTTGGAATAACATATTGGGGCATTTAACCACTTCCCTTCCGGCCCATGTATATAAATGGTCGTACGGGAGCAATGCAGGGGTGGGTGGCCGTTTATAAACGTCCTCCCCGCTCCCTGCTTGTGCGTGCTCCCTGGGAGAGCGCAGCACCGCGATCCGGTGCCCGCTGTGTCCGGAGGAACACTGATCATTGTACGGGACCTCTGTGTGAGGTCCCGATCAAGTGATCACTGATTGGCCAATCAGTGATCACATGTAGAGTAGTAAGCAAGATG